GTTGTTGTTGTTGGTTGTGGTTGTTGTCGTTAGTGTTGTTGTTGTTGCTGTTGTTGTTGTTGGTGTTGGTGTTGTCGTTGTTGTTGTTAGTGTTAGTGTTAGTGTTAGTGATAGTGTTGTTGTTAGTGTTGTTGTTGGTGTTGTTGTTGTGGCTGTTGTTGTTGTTGGTGGGGGTGGCGGTGGTGGTGGTGGTGATGTTGTTTTCGTTGTTGTTGTTGTTTCTCCTCCTCCCCCCCTCCCTCTTTGCAGCGGGGGCCAGCCTGCAGGGGGCCGCCCACGAGATGCCCAACCTTTAGACCCCAGGACGCCCATTGATTTTTGGCGAGGAGCGCCACGCTCCACATAGCAAAACCATCGAAACCCAAGACATCCAGGGCACCCTGGAGGCGAGCAGTGCGTTCCTTGGCATGGGTATCCACGCGGGCCCCCCCTGCATCCCTGAGAAGGAGGGGGAAGAGGAGGAGAAAAGGAGGAGGAGGAGGAGGAGGAGGAGGAGAAGGAGGAGGGGGAGGAGAAAAAGGAGTCGTCATCAGCTCGCTCTGGCGTTTTCGCCGACTTCGGAGGCGGAGGAGGACGACGGCGAGGGCGAGGACGAGGGGGAGAAGGAGGAGGAGGAGGAGGAGGAGGAGGAGGAGGAGGGCCGCCGGCTGGAGGACTCCATCGGCGGCGGGCCCGACACGCAGCAGCCCGACACGCAGCAGCCCGACACGCAGCAGCCCGACACGCAGCAGCCCGACGCGAAGCAGCCCGACACGCAGCAGCCCAACACGCAGCAGCCCGACGCGAAGCAGCCCGACGCGCAGCAGCCCGATTCCCTGCAGCCCGACACGCAGCAGCCCGACGCCCTGCAGCCCGACACGCAGCAGCCCGACCCCCTGGCGCTCGACTCCCAGCAGCCCGACGACAAGCGCCAGCGCGTGGAGGATGCTCTCCTATCTCTGATCCTGCTCCTCATATTCCTTCTCTGCTTCCCTTTCCTTCCTCCCCCTGATCCTCAGTGCCGCGCTCGCGGCAACGAGCGCCGCGTTAAACCTTGGGTCCTGCGCGTGGTTGCAACGATGGAGGTCACCTTGCCTTTTCCCCCTGTCTTTGTGCTCTCTCTCCCCAGGCCCTGTAGTTCGTTCCCCTCTCACCCCCATCGGGGCAGTGGTGTGGCCGCAGCGAGGGCGTCGACTAATGAATGTGCCCAGGAGGCCTCAGACCCTGGCGGGTTCCTTATCTGATGAGGGCGGTGCCGATGCCCATGGCCGAACCACAATGTGACTTCAACTGGCTTTCCAGACCCTGGATTCCTAATCAGAAGTTCCCTTATCCCGGGTCCCTGCGGACGGTAGGAGGGGGTGTGGCGCGTCCAGTCCAACCCAATCCGCTCCTATAAGAAATCAGAGTGTCCGTAAATGCCGCTACTCCAGACTTTTGAGCGTCGCTAAGCCGTCGCCCCCCATCCTTAAACCCCAGACTTCATCGTGCCTCGGCCCCATCCTTAAAACCCAGGCAGACCCCCAGGGGTGAAATGAAGAGGAGGAGGAGGAGGAGGAGGAGGAGGAGGAGGAGGAGGAGGAGGAGGAGGAGGAGGAGGAAGAGGAGGTAGAGGAGGAAGAGGAGGAGGAGGAGGAGGACCTTGTTTCAGACCTTTTGGACCTTTTTGACCAAGCACGGGGCGCGCGCGGGGGGGGGAGAAGGGGGGGAAAAGCGGACCCCGAACGGGGGTGCTTAGGTGCAGGCGGGACCCCACCTCACCGCCACACCCCCGCACCTCCCACTGGCCAGCTGACCCTCCGCGGGAGGGCCAATTAACCAGCGGAGGCGGGCGGCCCACCGCCCCCCCCCCCCCCCCCCCCCCCCCCCCCCCCTCGGACGCAGCACGCGCACACAACCTCTCAAGGCTACCGCGTTCACGCGCATCGAGGGCAGCTTGCAAAGGCTTAGGCACCCCTTCTATGCGGGGGTACATGCCTCCCTCGATGCGGCTTCAATTCTCACGGCCCTTGCGGGAGAGGCCCTCGCATCTCGCCGCGAGGTGGCGCCCATCGACCGCGGCGTACTTGCCACAGGTGGTGCAGAAACTCAGGAGGTAACGCCCCCACCTCTGGGCGGTGTGAGAGGGGCGCACGTCCCTTCCAGCCGCCAAGCCCCCGCTACACGCCCCCACGCCAAGGAGAGGGAGGCCGCGGCACCGAGTCTCGGCGGCTTCAATGAGACGTGACACGGGCACCACAATATCACAACTCCTGCACCTCCATGAGCCCTCTGCTTGCTCGAAGCTATGGCTGGAGGCCTGCAGCACACGCTGCCTCTTCGAGGGTGGTGGTGGTGGTGGTGGTGGTGGTGGTGGTGGTGGTGGTGGTGGTGGTGGTGGTGGTGGTGGTGGTGGTGGTGGTGGTGGGGGGGTGGGGGGGGGGGGGGGGGGGGGGCTCTACGCTGCACAGTGGCCCGCACTCCCCTCCATGGGTCAGCCTCCGCAGCAAGGGCCAAGGCGGCGCGCCTCGCACGAGCTCGAACCAGGGTGCCAATCGCATCCCAGTGGTCAGTCTGAGGCTCGCCCCCTTCCACCGAAACCGCCCACCCTCTCTCCGCCGCAGCGCCCGCCCCCTCATCGGCCATGGCGTTGCCCTGAATTAGGTAAGGGTCGATCGGCTCGCTTGGAGAGGTGGCTTCGTCCATATGCGAACGGGTCCATCTCAGGTTCACCTCCGACGACCGAGCCTGGAGTGCCACCCGAATTCGAGACCACAAATCTTAATTTGAACCGTTCTTCTGGAATTGCCGACCCTTCCCCCATGCTTTCATGAGGGGCTCGTGGTCGGTAACAAACAGAGGCCTCTCGGGGACATGCTCAAGTGCGATGGCAAACGCGAGCAGCTCCGCTCGAGGGACCGTTTGACGCTGCCCCCCGACAGGAGTCGAAAAATCCCCATGCAAGCCTCCAGCCCCCTTGGCCGCCAGGCTGCATAGCGACCACAGCCGTGCCACACCTTCGCCCACGTGGGCCCGCACTGCGCCCCCCCCCGATCCGTCGCCGAAAACCACCGCACTCCCAAAGTTGGGACGCGGTTCAACCTCGGAAATCGGGAGCGGCCCCAGGGACAGAAGGTTTTCTTCCGGAAAAACCGAGAGATGGGTGTAGCTCTTAAGCGGAATTCCCCGGAGCCACAAAACTGGGCAACTCTCCCACTGCACCTAGGCCTGCTGCCTGATGCATTCACTCTTCTCAAACTCCTCGAAGCCTACATTGCACGGGCACTCCCACACCCGATGAAAGAGAGTCTCTGTGCTCTGCTGGCATCTTGGACACTCTGTGGCTACTTCATATCCTAAGGCCGCCTGTCTTTCTCGAGTGAACTGTCTACCAGGCACTGCAGCATTCTGGAGACCTACAAGCTCATCAGCTTCCTTTTCTAAAAACTTGCGTACTTCGCGATTCGCCAGGAGAACGCCCCCACCCCCAAGCTCCAGCCCCTCACCCCCATAATGAGAAGCGGCCTGGGTCCAAAACTGGGGCGCAAAGTCCTGGGCCAGGTCGTCGAGCAATTCAATAAAATATGTATCCCCTTGCTCGAACCCAGCCTCCCTCGCGCGCGGCAGTCTCCAAACTTCGCTCCCGTTCGCAGTTGGGCGACGCCGCGAGTCGGGTGATAACGGGGTCCACCCAGCCTCGTAGAGAGTGGCAATCACCGCGCTGATAGGCCCGCGCACCCTATTCCACCGCGTTCTAGCTGGCCAGAGCCGAGGGGTAAGATGCTTCCAAGCCGCTCTGATGCGGCCGTGGAGCTCTGGCGACGACTTCCAAACTAAACAAAGCTCGAGGGCCAACTGACGGCGCAACTCCAAACCAGGACCTTTGACCCCTAGATGCACGGCAAGCAACGTGGTCAGACAACGACCCGAACCCGTTCCAGCGATAGCCTGGCCAGCCTGCCGCCTAAGGTTATGAATCTGACTCGGGCTCACACCATGCACTTGGCGCCCATGCACCGCTTGGGGAAGGGCCCCCGTGGTCCAAAGAGACTGCGATATCTTCGATAATTTAGCCGAGCGCCTGAGCTTACTGATGCGTCGGAACCTCTTGGTGGCCTTGACTAGACTACTCTTGGTCCGTTTGAGAATCCCAGCGTTGCCTACCGTGGTGTCGCATCATAAATCTACCGCTGACACCTCAGCTGAATGCGGGACCTCGGCTGCCTTCAGCAACTGACTTATTCGAGCTCTAACGCGAGACGATGAGGCCAGAACAGTGGTCTTGTCAGAAATCACTAGCCGAGCCTCTCGCAGACCTTCAGTCAACACTCTTGCCGAGGCTGCCAAAGAGATCGCAGCGCTCTCTGCCGCCCCTTCGGCTCTCGAGACCGCATCGTCGATAAAGGACCACAGCCTGCAAACCTTGACCTGCCGCTGGGCGCGGTCCAAGATCGGAAACAGAAACAATTTCGCAAACGGGGCCCCCAAGCAAGACCCTGCGACGAGGGAGCGCGTCGGGTAGATGGCCTCGCTAGCTCCTCCTTGACCCCTCAAAAACCTGGGCGCTAAATAGAGCTGAGACCCTAGCGCGACAACCAGGGCAGGACACCCGATGTCTAACGCTGTTTTGATTAGCATCACCAGGCTCAGTGAATCGTAAAATTTTGCTACATGCTAGCACTGCAGTCACATCGAGCAAGCTGCGCAGCAACGCGGCTCGCAATGCTGCGTGTCCCTTGATAGCCGTATACCAGAACTGGTCAAGGCCTGCACCCCAAGCCTCGACCAGCCCCGATCTCACTCGGCTCCAGAGCTTTATAACATTCGAAAGCATGCCGATCGTTCGGTCACCTCGCTGATTAGGTTTGGCGTGGGAAAGACAGGGGGGGGGGGGGGGGGACTTGGGGCCCCGACTTGGGTCAAAGCACGGGCGGGGGGCCCTTTCGTGATCCAGATCCTTCTCCGCCTCCTCCGCCTCTTCCTTCTCCCCCTCCTCCACCCTATAGGACGCGGGCGTCGCGGCGCCGTGTGCTCGCGCGAAGGTCCTCTCGGAGGACGACTACAACATCAACCTGGCGCTGGCAGTGGAGATCTGCTCGTCGGACGACGATCCGCTGGCGGAGAGCAGCATGCGAGACGCAGCAACCGACGCGCTGGCGGAGAGCAGCACGCGAGACGCAGCCGACACGCTGCCTGAGAGCAGCATGCGAGACGCAGCCGACACGCTTCCTGAGCCAGAGGCCCCAGTCTTCGAGAATGGCCAGAACAGCAGCTTCAAGGAGCCAGAGACCCCAGTCTTCGAGAAAGGCCGCATTCCCACGCCGTTGCGCGTCCCGAACGTCGACGAGCTGCTGGCCGCGGCGAAGTTGAAGCCAGGCGCGTGCGTCGAGCCCGACGCCGTGGACGGCATCCCGAAGGTCGCCAAGGCCAACGCCAAGGCGCAGCCCGCGCCGCAGGTCTTCGACAACATCCCGAAGGTCGCCATGGCCAAGGCGGAGCCCGTCGCGCCGCAGGTCTTCGATAGCATCCCGAAGGTCGCCATGGCCAAGGCGGGGCCCGCGCCGCAGGTCTTCGATGGCATCCCGAAGGTCGCCATGGCCAAGGCGGAGCCTGTGCCGCAGGTCTTCGACAGCACCCCGATCGCCAAGGCCAAGCCGCCGCCCTGCGACGGCACCCCGGAGATCGCCAAGCCCAAGCGGCCGCCTTCCGACGGCATCCCGAAGATCGCCAAGGCCAAGCCGCCGCCTTCCGACGGCATCCCGAAGATCGCCAAGGCCAAGCCGCCACCGGCCAAGGCCAAGGCTGCCAAGGCAGCGGGGGGCGCGACGGCTGCTCTGACGGAGGCGAAGGCCGCTCACATGGCCAAGCTCGGGCAGACATCAGCGCTGAGGGCTGCGGCCAGGTACGACATCGACAAGTGGAACGCTGAGTGGGCTCACGTCATTGCCAAGATGCCAGAGGAAGCCAAACCCAAGGGCCCGCACGGTCAGTTCTCGTGGACGGCTCACACTACAGTTGGCCCGCTTCACAAGCAGTGCAGCATCGAGGCGATCTTGCGCAACAAGGGCTGGCGCGTGGCGAAGCCCAAGATGACCAAGGAGGAAGAGCCGCTCACCCCGTGGAACGACGACATTGCCAACGCTTGGGAGGTCACCAAGCAGAAGGCCGAGAAGAAGCTTTACGAGGTTGCTGACTAGGCTGAGTCCCCACGGTGAGTGACATGCAGTCGGGGCGCTGAAGGAGGAACCCTTTTCGTTGGGGAGGGGCTCGGAGTTCCCTAGGTTTTCCATGGGAAATCAAAGTGCCTCATGTGAAACAAAAACCTCGTTCCGGATAAGTTTAGGGTTCCTTGGGTCAGCGCCTCGAGTGCAGAGCGTCTGTGACGCTGGGTCTTGCGCCCTGGAGGTTCTCTTGCCCCGACGGCCCGAGAGGTCCCAGGATGACCCCCAAGAGGCCCCCAAGAGGCCCCAAGAGGCTCCCAAGAGGCCCCCAAGAGGCCCCCAAGAGGCTCCCAAGAGGCCCCCAAGAGGCACCCAAGAGGCCTATGCAAGAGGCCTATGCAAGAGGCCTATGCAAGAGGCCCCCAAGAGGCCTATGTGCAAGAGGCCCCCACGAGGCCCCGCATGAGGCTCCCACGAGGCCCACAAAACGGCACACCCCTCACGAAGATCGTGGCTCCATAGGAAGCTCCACTGAAAGCGGCACCCACAACGTGGCAATCACAGTTGCGTGTGGATTGGCCCCTCGCCAGGATAATTTCCTTACCCGAAGGCGTCTGGGGGGCGCAGGCCTCCCGAAGAGAACCCCGAGACGCTTTCTCACCCTTGCCGCTGTGGCACGGCATCGGCGGGGAAACCGTGGCCGCTGCCTTTTTTCTCTTCGCTGGCTTCGCGTGTCCATGTCATGCGGGTTGCAGGGCCACGTGCGTTTGGGCTGGCACTTTGATGGGCCTAGCCTCGCCAGGTTGACGCGGCCCTGCAGATTTCAATCGCACGCCTGACGAGCAGTGTGAAATCTCCATCCGATCCTCCCTCCTTACATCACCCTTCCAATGCTCCTTCCAACACTCCCCTCGGCTTCTCCAATCCCCATCGCTCGCTCCTTCCACCGCCCCTCTCCGCCACCTCCTTCTTCTTTACCGAGTCGCTATGGACATGCGAATGGCCAGCCGCCGATTTTGCAGCCTTCTTGTCGTTTTGCAAATCTGGGAGCGCTAGTGCGCCGACGCTCGAGTTTCGATGTACTTGGGGCCCCAAGCGCACAACGTAGCTAACGCCCAGGCTCAAGCTTTAGCACGTGCGTGCGTGTATTTAAACATCTAGTGTGTATACAAACCTGCATGACATCCATACTAGTCGACTCCGATGGCGATTCCGAAATCGAGGAGGTGGACGACATGGGTTGAGTCGACCTCGACCAATTCTCCGAAGTCTCTCGCGCTAGGCGGAAGCGAATGCGACTCGTGGGCCCTCCAGCGTGCTCGAACGCAGTGTTGCAGTCGAAGTTGATCCCCAAGAAGATGGTCGTGATATGCACTTTGCTGCTGAACATTTTCGGCGCCCCTGATCGCGTGGACTCGGTAGAGCTGTTCGCTGGGTGCCAAAGCGTGAGCAAGGCCATGAGAGGCATGGGGTAAACGTACAACTAAAACCTTTGCACCTCCTCTGGCTCCCCTGAGGCCCCATGCCCGTCCTCGCAAAAGGCCCCTTTGGCGCCTCCAAGCCTCATGAAAGACCCCCTCGAGGACTCAATTGGCGCCCCTTTGGATCCCAATTGCCGAGGCGCCCAGTACTCGGCAGTCGGCCTGGACTTTTCGACCATCAGCCCCATGGACGATGTCAACACGAGCAAGGGGTTCCTGAGAGCTGTGACATACGTGTTGGGGTTGAACCCGGGAGGATTTCTGTGGGCCGCTCCCCCGTGCAGCTCGTGGGTGTGGATGTCGCGCGGAAGCTCGGGACGAAACAAAGCAACGCCGATGGGAAACCAGGATCATGCTATAGTGAGAGCTGCTAACGAACAAGCTTCCAGAGTGCTGCTCCTGATTCTTATAGGTTGCGCAGTGAATGGTGTGATCTTTTTTGCCGAGCAGCCGATTTCGACCCTCCTTCCTGACCATTGTCGTTGGAAAATGTTTCAAGAGTTGTTGTCTGACCATTTGCACGTGGCATCCATGTGGATGCAAGTGTATGGGGGTGATACCCCCAAAAGGACATGGCTGATTAGCAACACGAGTGAGGTGAACCGCATCTGCGACAAACCAGTGAGTGTAGAAGCCGAGGTCAAAGTTAAGAGCTATGACACGGTAACCCACCCGACGGGCACAGTGAGCATAACAGCAAGCGAACACCTCAAAGGCACTGAAGCTTATCCTTTAGAGCTCGGCCGCGCCATTGCTGTTGCATCTTCAGTGCGCCAGAGCTGGTCAGATGAAGGCGTGGGCCTCGGCAACGTCTGCAGTATTCCCTGCTCGGACGAGTCTTGGGAGGAGGCCAATCTAGACTCTGTCATATCGGACTTGCGATCGATTCGCAGGTCCTAGGGTCGGCGCGTGCCGATCGCCAGCAGCTAGCTGCAAGAGTAAACGTTCCTCGGCCTTTTCCTCCTCCTCCTCCTCCTCCTCCTCCTCCCTAGGGGTCCTCCCTCCACGGTGCATGCGCCTGTCGTCGGGGAGAGGGAAGGGGCTGCCGCCGCACGCGCCGCCCCTGCACCGGCGCCGGCCCGCGCGCGCCACCCTTGCAACGTTTGCTCTCTCGATCGGGCAGTCGTTAAGGGAGGTCTTTGAAAAAGAGGGGGTCAGCGCACCATTGCCCACGCAGGGCCCCCCATCTGGGGCCCCAGAAGGCTTCCAGGGGCCCATGGTCCCCTCCGCTGGCGGTTTACAACAACCCTCGACCACCCCGCCCCCCCTCCCTTAACGCCCGCCCTGCTCCATGAGGGTCCAAGGTGGCCCGCGCCGTCGCCGCGGCACCGCCGCGAGCAAAGTTAGCGAGCCTGAGTGCGAAACCAATGCAATCAAGCAAACGACTATTGCAACCAATGCAATCCAATCATGATTGGACACGAAACACTGTGAACGCAAACCAAATGATTTAAACATAAACCCAAACTGGCCAAATCGGCAACCGTAAGATACCGTAAGATAGCACCCACATAGAATATGCGAACCGTGAGATACCGTAAGATACCGGAAGATAGCTTTTTACGGGCACGTGATATATCTCATAGCTCATGCGTGAAAAACGTCGGGGCCCAGGAACCTGCTGAGTGTCCGATCGTGAGGCGGTCGAGGAGCATACCGAAGCCCTGATGTGCCAAACGAGACGTCGTTACCCCACGAATGCGCCCTGGAAGCCTTCGGGGGCAGGAGGAAGAGGAGGAAAGAAGGGATGTGAGGACACATAGCCGTTTTGGCGCGAGTATACTCCGATACAGTCGGACCGAGATGCAAGACCGAAGTCGGTTCGGGCAGAGCGCCCTTGTTGTTCTAATTTGTTTGTTCGTACTGGGGGGAGTATTATCGGATGTTCTGTGTGTTTTGGCCCATGGAGGGCCTCGTGTTGGCGGGTGGTGTTCTTCTGGTCTGGGTCCGACTGTAATCCCAGATCGTGCGCTCACTGTAGACATGAGCTACCGATTCCTTCGAGACGCGGATGGCCGCCTGGTGGTCGACTACAACATGAAGGTAATCAAGATCAAGATTGAGAACCCAGAGCCTCCCTCGGGCGGAACGTCGACACCCCTGAGCAGCGCTTCGGGCGGTACGTCGACGCCTGGAAGCAGTGCCCATAAGCCCACGGCTGCGAAGTCCCCCTTCCCCGCGCCGCCCAAGCAGTTGATTGTCCCCAAGTGCCCGCCGATGATGTGTGACATCGGCCTCGCCGCGGCAGTCGACCCGACCCAGGGCGTCGACGACGGCGGTCAAGATGAAGATGCAGGCGAGGCCAAGAGGAGGAGGTTGACGTCCGGGCCAGAGGCGGAGGCGGCAGTGCCAGCTGCGCCGACAGAGGCGGAGGCGGCAGTGCCAGCGCAGGAGGTGGCAGCTCCACCCGCGCCGACACAGTCGGAGGCGGCAGTGCCAGCGCAGGCGGCAGCAGCAGGCCAGGAGCAGGAGGTGGCAGCTCCACCCGCGCCGACACAGTCGGAGGCGGCAGTGCCACAGCAGGCGGCAGCAGGCCATGAGCAGGAGGCGGCAGCTCCAGACGCGCCGACAGATGCGGAGGCGGACGACATGGCAGCTTTCAGCCCTGTGAAGAGGAACGACAAGGGGGAAGTCGACGCGAAGGACCTCGAGGAGTCCCTGATGGAGGCGAACCAGAAGCTCGGCCAGGCCCGCAGGTCCATGCTTTGGGCCCGCATGGGCCGTCTGACCAACAACGCGAGGACGAACGGGCTAAGGAGAGGGGGAGGGATTAGGAGGAGGAAGGAGGATAAAAACAACACGTGTGTACGCATATTCTTGTACCCAGATATGTATAATTGTGTAGAGTATGTGTGTATGTATGTATTTATGCATGCATAAACGAATTTATGTCTGAATGAACGAATGAACGAACGGGCCCACAGTCATTTGTTTATTTATTTGTGTGTAAATATGTATGTATGTGTGTATGCAAACATGCATGTATGCATGTATTGTTGTGTGTATGCATGTTTGCATGCATGTGCGTATGTATGTGTGAATGTACACATGTGTTTTTGTGTAGGTATGCAAGCGTGCATGTGCGCATGTTTGAATGTATCTACGTGTATATGTGTATGTTTATATATGTATATACATTCATGCATGCATGAATGAATTTATATGTAAGTAAATATGTAGGTATGCATGTATGTATGTTTGTATGTATGTATGTATGTATGTAGCAATATCGAGGCTTTTCCTCTCAACCCTCGAAGCCAAAGGACCTGCAGTGCTTGCTCCTTCTCTGCCCTAACATGCTGACTCTTGCACACGGGGGTCCCTGACCCCAGCAAATACAATCTACAACACGCCCCCTTGGAAGCTTGGCTACCCACTGAGTCGAGCTTTCAACTGACTCCCGAAAACTTGTCACGGTGGGGCGTCCCCCAAAAGACCTGCTGAGGCGTCCCTCAGGCTAAAGAAACGAACAACTGAAACTCTGCCCAGCAAAGAACTCAAACTTCGCTGGCTGGTCAGCAAGCTCAACTCAACTTCCAAGGGAAAGAAATAGCT